ATATAAAAATATATATATATATATATATATATATATATATATATATATTAGTTTGCTGAATTGCAGGTGGAAAAAAAACAATGGTACGAACATAGTAGCCCAATGTCCACTTAGACCTCTTTAGGCGAGTGAATTCAAGGGAAATTCGACTCTCCAGGGAGACATTGTTGAGTGCTGAAACTCCGACTTGAAGAGGTCCTTTGCTGAGTATGCAGATGTTGTCTGTCTGTCTATATATGACTAATATGTTGGTATGACTGTCCTGCATTTTGAGATGCGCAGTGGATATTAGGGCTCGACTTGTCTGGTTGCATTCTGGTCTGTAGCCCGCGAAACGCATCAAAACAACAATCAACTGCTAACGACGCGAATATCTGTATGGTTTACTCATAGGATTGTGGCAAAAGGCAACTCTCTTTCCGTCATCAGCTCAAACGAAATGCAGTGAGCACATTTCGTGTATGTGATTTGCTGGCCGTCACAAGAGCCTATTCGCAAACGAAACCGTTGCTGTAGCAACGCAACACAGAGACAGCAGAGTCGCGAATTGGCCAAAATGGCTGCTCTTCACGAGGCGATGTACAGCAGCCTGAGAGATCTGTTGTTGTTTTTTTTCTGACAATCGACAAACCAACATTGCGCGTCACGCGGCAACTTGGCAACATTTAAGGGTGGCTGACTAACTCGTCGTGTCAGGTTAGCTCCACTCAGTTGTCCCCTCGTCTCGTCGGACGGACGCGATGAACTGGTGAAGAGGAGAACCGAGGAGAAGGGAAAAATGGAGCTGAGTTGCCGGGCCCTAGGCCCAGTTGACCGTGGCTTGGCAAATAGGGCATGAGTGGACCCGAGGGCATATGCGAATGCGATGCTTTGAGCAGGCCTGCAGAGAGACGAGAACAAGAGAGAGAGAGAACGAGACCAGGAGAGCGAGAGAGTGAAAGATAAAATGGGTGAAATGTGAAGAGGTACAGGGCAAGAGTGTCGGGCTGAGCCTAACACGTGCCGAGAAATTGCACTTCTGATTGGTCGAGACGACCGGCTCGCAGTGTGCATTCTGATTGGCCGAGAAGGATGGGGAAAATGGCTTAAATTATGTCTTCTTGGGCCGTTCCGACGCAGAGTAAACCCCCCAGATTCAGATTAGACCCCTTATTTCGGCTCAGCCCACAGATTCAGATTCGGGCCTGAACCTCGATCCTATCCCATCTTTAGATTTCCCTCAATTGTGATTCGTTTACTTCATGGGATCCGAATGCCCACCGAAGCAAACTCGGCACATCAGCCTACTTCCCGGCATCACGACTGGCACTTTTTCCACCAGACACGTCAAGAAGCCGTCTCTTCCCGTCGCACAACAGCAAATGCCTCTTGAAGGCCTCCAACCCCACCTGACTCGGCCGTCCGCCTCGGCGTTGACGAGAGCCGCGATCAGCCAACCGTCGACCGGCCAGCCGCACGACCCTTCGGGCTCGCTGCGACGCGGCTCGTTGATGGAACCGATCAAGCGATTCGCCAAACGGCTCAGCATGCGACAGCCGTCGCCCAGCTCGGATCACATGTTGCCGAAAAAGAGGCCGGCTCTCCAGCCGCCTCAAGAGGCCCGGGTTCGAGTCCCGCCGGCTGCCGACGAAGCGCACAGCCGATTCTCTTTCGGCATGTGGCAACGAGGCCGGTTCTCGCTGCAGCCGTCGGCCGGTTGCCAGGCGACCGGACAACTGCCGCCGTCGCGACACGTCTCCACCTCGCACGAGCCGGCCGCTCAGACGCAAGCCTCGTTCGTCACGCGATTGTCCATTCGAGGCCAGACAGTCGCCGACAAGAGCAAAGTGGACGATGAGGCGTTGGGTCGCGGTGGCCGACCCTTTTATCGGGTTCAGCGCAAACGAACCACTCAGTTGCCAGTCTTTCCGCCTCGAGCGCCGCTCACTCCCGCCCAACGACAGATCGATTTAACGTCTCTCGCCACGCCAACGGCGACGGCGACGGCGACGGCG